TGGCTGACAGTTAATTTGCGTAAGGATATGCTGATTAGCCAATGGGAAGGGTAGCGGTCATACGCCAATTACCATGTTTCTCTTTTATTAGTGTAGATGCCATTTAACAAAGAAAAATCAACCAAAAAAATGAGTTCGCGTGTCACCTCTGACACGCATGTCATAGGTTCGCCATCACTGTTATAGATAGTTCTTTCTCAAAAAAGAAACACTATGGCCTGGCTGGCATGGTTCAGTGGTTGAGCGTCAACTATGTAACCAGGAGGTCATGGTTCGGATCCCAGTCAGTGCATATACCTGGGTTGTGGTCTTGATCCCCAATGTGGGGCAGGCAGGAGGCAGCCAATCAATGATTCTCTCTCATCATTGATGTTTCTATCTCTCTCCCCCTCTCCCTAAAATCAATAAAAATATTAAGAAAAAAAAGAAAAAGAAACACTATGTTCTCTTATTCCCTTTACCTAATAAGCACCTGGATATAACATACAGCACAGGGAATATGTCAAGAATATAGTAACTTTGCTTGATGACAGATAATTACTAGGCTTACTATGGTGATCATATCGTAGGGTACATAAATGTCAAATGACTATGTTGTTTACCTGAACGTAATATAATATTGTATGGCAACTAGACTTTAACAAAAAAAATTTTTAAAAACTTGTTTTTGTATTCCCAAGCCCAAGTTAAAAAACAAGTTGAATAAAAAATAATGATGGGATTTACTTAAAACCTATACATTAAATAACTCTAAAACTATTTAGAGCACTAAAACTGGGCAACTAGCATATATAAGTAGGACTACTCTGTGAGATAAAGTTTATGTGATACTTACAGAGGTATCGTAATTTCCAGGTGGAGCAATGTAAGTTACAGTTCCTCTGCTTCGTGGAGGTAACATGATTTTGTGTTTGATGAGAGAATTTTCATTGACAATTCCATAAATATCTCCACCAGTGATGTGACTACCAACCTAGAGAACAAATGCATTTGTTGTTTAATGTTCAAATAAACATCAAGTAGACCGACCCTTGATATTCTTTAAATCATTTGCCTCACTTATCAGTAAAACATATTAGTTCTATAATCCTAGTAGATTTAAAGAAAAATTTATACTATGCTTCTGTGGTCTATTTTTATTTGAATTAAGAGTACAAAATAATTCATTTCACAATCTGAAACCAACTTTAGAAATCTTGATTATAAAGACATACCCGTAGGTTTTTGCAAGGTGTAAAATCCCATTTGATATCTCTGCTAAGAGCAGACACATTTACTCCTCGAGGAATGTAGATACTTTGGGTCTGATTGCTGATGTCCGACAAAGGTCTTTGAATACCATCAAAAATGGCTCCCATAATGCCAGGACCAAGTTCTACAGAGAGGGGTTTACCAGTGCGGAGTACAGGATCTCCAACAGACACACCAGCTAGAAACAGTAGTTGAGGAAAACTCACTAAGAAAGTTTAGAGATACTATAAAAAGGAAATACCAGTTTAATGGGAAATGATACTTAAGGAGCTAAAACAGAGATGGTCAAACTTTCTCAGTTTACAACATTCTTAGTGTTTTAGTAACATTTTCACAGTGACAAAACTTCTATCTAATAATTACATTTATTAAATAGCCATATCCAAACAATTATATATATATGTATGTATACACACACACACACACACACACACACACACACACATCTCCAAATAACCAAGTGGCACTTGGAAATATACATAAATAGAAAAAATATTATTTTAATTTCATTCTTAAATAAACTCAATTCTTACAAATGGGATATATGTGCCTGTCAGGCATTTTACAATTTTCAAACCTTGGAATCAGACTGAATACCTGATCCATATTCAGCTGCACATAGTACTTGCTTTTTAGTTTAGCAATCACCAAAAAACTCAGCTTCGTGAATATATGACATCATCAACAAGAATATAGTGCAGCCAAGTAACGAAACTGTTTATTATCTCAAGCTACTAGGTCACATGGTGTCTGACAAGATGTCTAATATTCTTGTTAACTTCAAAAATTTAAAACATCCTGGGAGTTGAAGTTGCCCAGAGTGCCTTGGTGCAGTTTGAGAAACCATAGAACTTAAAAACAGAAACAAAAGTTTCTCTTTAATACATTATTTCAACTATACAACTTAAGAACATCAGTCCCCTAAAAAGGATATTAGTTCCTAACAAAAAATTAAAATCTTAAGAATTAAGTGGTTTTAAAAAGGAAAAGAATAAAGCCTGCAAATAAGCACATTGAGTCCTGCTTGCTCTCATGTACTTGTTCATAGGCGTAAAAGCAGTACAACTTTTATTGACACCAACTTAGCAATATCTATCAAAACTAAAATGCATAAATTTTGACCCAAAAATCTAACTTCTGTGAATTCATGCTATAGTTACATTGTATGTAATAAATGACTAGAAACAACTAAAATTTCTATCATTAAGATATTGATTAATATACCATATGAATTATGGTATATTCATATGGTGAATGCTACTTAGCTGTAAAAAAGGAATAGAAGCTTATATGAATTGCTCTAGAAAGATCTCCAAGATATAGTTTCATTTCTAATAATTGGTTATGAACACTTTTAAACCTATTGCAAAGCTGAATTTTACAGTGAACTCCATCTGCTATTTCTACTGGCTAGATTCTACCATTAACACTTTACTTTATTTATCACATATCTATCTATCTTACACAATACATTTCTTTTTAAGTGAATATAATATGCTATCTTTTAGTAAAAAAAAAGGAAGAAAAGTACATATTGATATTGGTTCATAAATGCAATTAAACTAGAAGGCTATATAATAAGAAGAACTAATTAAAATGGCTGCATGCATGTGTGTGTGTTCTGAAAACTGGCCAGATACAGGATGACAAAAGTGGGGAGAATTGTCACCATATACATGTTCATTTGTTTATTTTAAATCTGCAAACCATGTAAAAGATTAAATAAAAGTTAACAGTAACAACAGAAAAAATTCTTTTGACTAGTCATGATTTCATAACCACAAAGATTTCTCATTTTATTTCAAATTTTCAGATGACTTTTTTTTAATTAGCACAGTACTCACACACACAGAAAAGATACTGGCAAGCATGTATTTTAGTATGACAAAAAAAAAAAAGTTGTTTCAAATAAATCTTAAATAGCTAAAGAATTAATGCTGATCCTGAGGACCAATCTAAGTAAAATACACAAATAAAGTCCCCCCCCTGGTCCCCCGCCAAAAAAAAATAAAAAAACTGGTTTCTCTTCACAAGGCTTAACTCTTTCTCTCTTTATTTTTTATAGAAAATTGAAAATAAATTCTATATTTAAAAGCCAAAATTATGGTAGCTAAACTAGCCAAATAGTAAATATTCCCCAGTACTAAAGCTGTAATTTAACACATCACCCAGCACTATTTATTAGAATAAAGATAGAATGGTGACCGGTTTACTATTATAAACAGAAATGATTGGAGACTTTTAATCATACAAATTGATGATGGCATTCTGTTTATGGTTTCTTCTCAATATGTCTCCCTCTAACTGATTCCCTCTAAAGTTTGTGAACTACTGAAATATTGAGTAATGAAAATTCAGAAGGTGATACTAATTTATTAAGAAGAGCACTAATTCCTAGTACCTTTCTTCAATATACTCCTGTATAAATCAGATTTCTAATACCAACATTTCATGCTTCTGATACCACTGGTTGTTCTGCTTCTACCTTTGCCATAAATCCTTAAAATGTGACTTGTAGAATGTGGCAAAAAATTTAACCAAAAAGGCCCAACCAGCGTGGCTCAGTGGTTGAGTGTTGGTTGACCCATGAACCAGGAGGTCAGGGCATATGCAAGGGTTGCAGGCTTGATCCCCAGCGTGGGACGTGCAGGAGGCAGCCAATCAATGATTCTCTCTCACCATTGATGTTTCTATCTCTCTCTCCCTCTCCTTTCCTCTCTGAAATCAATAAAAATACATATTTTTAAAAAAGAAATTGAATCAAAAAGGATACAAGTTTCTTCATACACCTGGATAGTAGCCATGTCACCTTCCAATCGGATAATCTCTCCAACCAACTCGCTGTGGCCCACTCTCACCAGCTCATACATGGCTGCACCTGACATTTCACACGCTGTAACCACTGAAAAGAAAATATGCATATTCTGATGACTTAAACTCTGTGAATAGTTATAGGTAATTAAAATATCCAGTAAATCCAATAAAACAGCTCTCTCATATATTCATAAGGAAAATAAAACACCCACTATGGAACATACATATAGTTTCACAGAAAGATGCATTTTTAGCATATGATATAGCAGGAAACAAAATAAATTTGTTAGGCTAAAGATTATACATTTACAGAATATACTCATAATAATCCATAATAACCCATAATGTAAATAAGGGTTTTGATCAACCCAGGTTGCTATAATACATGAAAGAGTGGGTTTGGGAAAATGAAAATAAAAACTGCAAAAATGGAACAGAAACTTTAGCTAGTAGTGTGGTAGAATGCCACACAATTATCAGTTTGCTATGTTGTCACCATTCCTTTGAAAGATAATATTGGAAACATCATCTTTACTCTCGAACACTTAATAACAGTGGTTCTTAAAACTTTTCTGGGACATGGACCTTTTCCATAAACTGATGATCACGCTCTACCTAGAAAAACTCACATATGCATCTACAAAATAGACAATAGGGATGTTTATAATTAGTTACCACCACTGGGTGAGGTCCTGACTAAGAATCCCTATTTCTGCCTTGGCTGATGTGGCTCAGTTGGTTGAGCTTTGTCCCATCCACCAAAAAAAGGTCACTGGTTCAATTCCTGGTCAGGGCACATGCCCAGTAGAGGATGTGCAAGAAGCAGCCTATGATATTGCACTCTCTCTGATGCGCGAGCTCTCTCTCTCTTTTTCTCTCTCTCCCTTAAGTCAATGAAACATATATGTATATAAATAAAAAGAACTCTCCCTGGCCAGCTTGGCTCAGTGGTTGAGCTTTGACCTATGAACCAGGAGGTCATCGTTCCATTCCCAGTCAGGGCACATGCCCAGGTGCAGGCTTGATTCCCAGTAGGGGGCGTGCAGGAGGCAGCTGATCAATGATTCTCTCTTATCATTGATGTTTCTATTTCTCTCTTTTCCTTCCTCTCTGAAATCAATAATAATAAAAGAATATACATATATATTTAAAAAATCCCTATTTTTTGTAAGTACTATAACAGAATTTGTGCTTACTATTTTGGACTATATATACTGTCTAGTAAGAAATGATTACTTTTCTGGCAGGAAGGGAAGGTTGTACATTTTCATAGGCATAGAAATAAATCTATTTTTAATATTTAGCCTTCTGATAAAATTGATTAGAACTATGTATTAGGCAATATTCAAATAAAAACTATTACAGTATTAAAATTTTACTGTATTAGAACAATGTAGATATATTAATTTCATAAATATTTACCTCTATACCTACTATATACTAGTAAGAATTAAGATGCATTGAAATATCAGAGATAACTAAAATTTTAAATCTTATTTCATCAACCAAATGTATGCCATTTCTTTATCTTATTAAGTACTGAAGAATTAGAAATAGGTTCAAGAATTTACTACAAGTTTTAGAAAAATATTTTTGCCTAAACTCTTTTGATGGTGTTCTTTTGTCCTTTCCCTAAAAGTTCTTGTGTGTAGCCTTTCCTAAAAACTCTTTTGATCATCAAGGGGAAACTATTTCTCTGAATGGCAACAGAGATTAAAAACAGTGAAATGCATTGTTTGCCAATTAATTAAAGCTCAAACAGCGATTTCTAAGTGATAGAAGCTTCCAGGGGAGAAATAAGAGGCATAGTGACTGACAGTCTTCATTTGCATAAAGACTGAGATATAAGAAAAAATGGATTTCCACTAAGGATTATAAATCAATGAACAGGTTTACTTCTGGAAACTGAATCAGGTTTTGCAGTAGGAGTGTGGAATAACAAAATGAATACTAGAATGAGATACAGCAGTACCCCAAGTTTTGATAAAATGAACATAAACTTTAAAACTGCTCTCCATTATCAGTGTCATGTCATGAGACTTCTTTTCCACAGCTAGCCAGTTATGTGATTCTGAAATAGCCATTTAGAAGGTTTTATATATGTAAAGAGCTAAGGTTGATATTACTGAGAAATGCTCTGAAAACATTATTAAAGCTCAAACTAAATTAACATATTTATTGAATGCTTATAATTTGCAAGGTATCACATACTAAAAGATATAGCTTTAACAAAAAATAGGTAATAATCTGAACAGTGATTATACATTTACATAATAAACATGATATTACAAATTAGTACCTCAATAATTATCAAATTTAGATAATGAATGCTAGATAAACCCTTAGGATGGAGGTATTACCTCAGTCTCATCTTATATAATAAAAGCCTAATATGCTAGGTGTCCGGTCGACCGGTCGGACGTTCAACCAATCAAAGTGTAATGTGCTAGCCCTGACTGGTTTGGCTCAGTGGATAGAGCGTCGGCCTGCGGACTGAGGGGTCGTGGGTTTGATTCTGGTCAAAGGCATGTACCTTGGTTACGGGCACATCCCCAGTGGGAGGTGTGCAGGAGGCAGCTGATCGATGTTTCTCTCTCATCGATGTTTCTAACTCTCTATCCCTCTCCCTTCCTCTCTGTAAAAAATCAATAAGATATATTTTTTTAAAAAAACACACACAAAGTGTAATGTGCTAATGATATGCTAAGACCACTCAAACGCTCGCTGTGATGTGCACTGATCACCAGGGGGCAGACAGTCGACCAGCCAACCAGTCGCTATGACATGCACTGACCACCAGGGGACAGATGCTCCAACCAGTAGGTTAACTTGCTGCTGGGGTCCAGCCCATCAGGATTGAGCGAGATGGGCCAGACACACCCTGGAGCCCTCCCTCGGTCCCTCCCTGGCTGGCCAACCTCCTGCGTCTCTCCCTGGCCCTGATCGTGCACTGGTGGGGTCCCTCGGCCTGGCCTGTGCCCTCTCGAAATCCAGAATCCCTCAGGGGATGTCAGAGAGCCAGTTTCAGCCCGATCCCGCAGGCCAGGCTGAGGGACCCCACTGATGCACGAATTCGTGCACCCGGCCTCTAGTAGCAGTTATAAAATCTTTTGAGGACAGAATTTATGTAGGTGAACAGAAACTTCTGTATTTCCATCTAAAACACCTTGAAAATGCATTAATTGAAATTAGGAATCTTTACCATTGAGATTATTCTGTATTACTTACCAGGTCCTGAGACCCCATGCACATAACCAAATGTGCTTTCTTTATCTTCATCACGTATTTTTGGTAGCTTGGAGAAATCCATTGTGTTAATTTACCTAAGGGGAAAAATTAAGTCATAATTACAAACCCTAACGCAAAAGAACCAATGTAGGCAGTCAACTCTCATTGATGGTGTATTTTGAGTTATTACCACTTCTTCAAAGTAAAATAAAAAATTCTTAAAATGTGATTAAAAGTACCTCATTCCTGGATGCTTCACAATTATTAAAATTCAGAATTATATATCCCCATGAAAACTGTCCCATAAAAAATACTGAGTAGCCCTAACTGGTTTGGCTCAATGGATAGAGCGTCGGCCTGCGGACTCAAGGGTCCCAGGTTCAATTCCGGTCAAAGGCATGTACCTTGGTTGCAGGCACATACCCAGTAGGGAGTGTGAAGGAGGCAGCTGATCGATGTTTCTCTCTCATCGATGTTTCTAACTCTCTATCCCTCTCCCTTCCTCTCTGTAAGAAATCAATAAAATATATTTAAAAAAATACTGAGTATAACAATGTGAAGTCTTCTCAATGGTTTATCCAGCCCTACATCTTGCCCTCTCCCCCATTATCTTCCTGACCATCTCTCCAATTACTTTTACCCTTAATCATTCTGCATATACAGGAGTGGGAAAAATTAGGTTTACAGTCGTAATAATAAGTAATACAATAATGTACTCACAACTGTAAATCTACTTTTGCCCACCCCTGTATACACTGAATTCCTTGCCATTTCTCAAAAACATATATGTTCTGCCTCAGGGTCTTTGTACATGTTGCTCCCTCTACCTAGAGTACTCTTCTTGCAGATATCTGCTCCTATACTTCCTTCAGGTCTTTACTCAACTGTCCCCTACTCCAAGAGGCTTCTCTGCCCATCTATTTAAATCACAACATAGCCCCCTCCTTCACTGCTTTATTTTTCATCATCTTATATCTTACATTTATTTTTATTTTTTAATCCTCCCTCGAGAATATTTTTCCAGTGTTTTGCTTGTTTTTTAGAGAGAGTGAAAGGGAAGGGGAGAGACAGAGAGAAACACTGATGTGAGACACATCAATTGGTTGCCTCCCATGTGCACCCCAACCAGGATCAGGGATCAAGCCTGCAACCGAGGTACGTGCCCTTGATCAGAACCAAACCCGGCACGCTTCAGTCCATGGGATGATGCTCTATCCACTGAGCCAAACCAGCTAGGGCACATTTAATTTTTAAATGTATTATCCATCTTTAAAATTTTCCTGAAAGCACTTTTCTTTTTTTTTTTTAGCAGAACATAGAACAGTTTAAGTAATTCAGTTCAACCTCTTTTCTTTATGGATGTGCAAACTGAAAAACCTAAAGAATTAACTATTCAAGTCCAAATAGAAAACTGGTGGCAGATCCCAAAGCAGAAAGTTTATTTTTGACCACTGGTCTAAGTTAAAAATTATTGATGTTTAATAATGGAGATAAAATACATGTACATATAAAAAGCTAAATTATGCCCCCAAAACAACCATAAAGTAAAGGTCACAGATCAATAAGTAATAGTGTTAAATCATATAAGTTATCTACTAAAAGTTCAATAATTAGAATGTTTAGGGAGCACAGGTTGAAGGTAAGGTAAAATTTGGATAAAATAGAAAGAAAAAAAAAGGTAGCAAAGGCATTTCAGTTGGGAAAATAATAAAAACAAAAGAATAGAGAAATTTATAAGAAGTTAACAGACTACGAAGAAAGGTTATATTAGGACAACAGTGAGAAATAAAGATACAAAGGTAAAGACATTTCTTTGTGGGTCTTGAAATGAAATGCCAAGTAGACTTGATTCTACAAACAATCCTATATAATAAAGAGCTAATATACTAATTAAACCAGATGGCGGAACAACCTTCCAGAACGACCTTTCAGAACGACCAGTGGGCAGGGGGCAGGGCCGAGAGGCAGCTGGGGCTGCGAGGGCCAAGTTCCTTGCACGAATTTCGTGCATCAGGCCTCTAATAGGAAATAACCGAAAATGGAGTGAGAACTTTAATGGGGAAAATGATGTTCAGTTAATTTAACAGGTTAGATTGAAAAGCTCTAGAAATAGTTACGATTTGAGTATCAATTGAATTCAATTTATTAAATGTTTATTGAACTCCTACCACGGAAAAGAAACTGTGTTAAACGTAGTGAATAAGGATTGTGAATAAAAGGAGCTTTCACTGGCTTTAAACAACTGTACATAAAAAGCACAATGACTTAAGTGTTCAAAACGACCACACAATGAAAGCCAAGAAGAAACTGATTTGAATGTGGGAGAAGTGTTAACCAATGTGAATGAAGTAGAGGGAACAGGTAGCTGAAAAGTAAGTTTTGAGGCTGGCTGAGTTGAGTCCAGATATAAAGAATACCAAAAGAGAGGAAAACCAAACCCTGAGCCTTGAGGGTTAATTCTGGAAGGATGGGAAAGTTTTTTTAGTCTTTCAGGAGCTATTGAAGGATCATCAGGAGAACCATATATTCCATGGAACACAATTTGTAATCCATTAGTCAAGATATCAAGGATTGGGGAAAGGAGTATAACAATGAAGTCATTAACAGAGGAGTTATGGTTTGAAATACTGGTGCCATCAGAATGGAGATGGTGGACAGGGCTAGAATTGAGTGATTAAAGAAACAGGCAAGAGTGTAAACAAAAATTAAAACCAAATGGAGATATGGGAGACATTAGAGTGAGTCAAATATGATCTAAGGAGCAGGAAAAGTGCCAAGAACTTGAAGATGATATCAGTGATAAGATAGAGACAGACAATCATGAAGTTGGTAGTTTACTGATAAAGATGAAAACAGGGTGAAAGTCATCAAAAATAATGGAACTGAATTAGAAAGAAAAAATAAACCAGACATCATAGTCACAAATACCACAATAAAAATCACAAGGATTTTGGGATTCTCAGTAGGAAAATTAATTGGAGAAGGGCATTTGAGGAAGGAAGAAGGAAAAGGGTAAACTGGTTTACCAGGATTCTTAGCTTCCTAAAGACAGGGCTATTGATTAAGCATGTATGGGATTGCAGATACTGGAATACAAAGAGATGGAACAAGTTTTTCTAGAAACTACTTAGGCAATAGGGGGAAAAACAAAGTTTAAAGACAAACACTTATTTGGGAAATGGGTTGGGCAAAGTTTTCAAAAAAGTAGTGAACGAGCAAATGAGGTCAAATTTTAAAATCAAAGATGTTCAAAGTCAGAAGGAAACTTGATAATCATATAGTCTAACTTCCTCCCCAAATATGGGTATTTCCTTCAGGGCATTCATGATACATAGTCATCTGTCTTTGAAGTGGAAATGGCACAAGATCTTGAGTCAGCAGACTCAGGACTCAGGCGGATTCTGACAGTGACATGCTATAAATCAAAATCTCTTATTATGTTCATTTGTAAAATAGGAATAATGCTATCATCTGCCCCAGAGCTGTGATTAAATGACAAATTTCTTGCCTGGCTGGTATGGCTCAGAGGTTGAGTGTCAGACCACGAACCAGTAGGTCATGGTTTCATTTCTTGTTAGGACATATGCCCTGGTTGTGGGTTCGATCCCAAGTGGGGGGTAGGGGGGGAATGCAGGAGGCAGCAGATCGATGTTTCTTTCTCATCAATGTTTCTATCTCTCTACCCCTCTCCCTTTGCCACTTTAAAATCAATAAAAATATATATTTAAAAATGACAATTTCTTAAAGAGTTCCTTGTGACATGTAAAATGCTTATATTCAGTAGTAATACTGGTATTTAAATAGGGCCTCACCGTGGCTGGTGTTGCCCAGTAGTTAGAGTGTCAGCCCACACACTGATAGGTCACAGGTTTGATTCCAGGTTAAGGGCATGTACCTGGGTTGTAGGTTCGATCCCAACCCCGGTTGGGGCATGTGCAGGAAGCAACCAATTGATGTTTCACATCGATGTTTCTTTCTCTCCCTCTGTTCCACTCTAAATAAATAAATAGAAAAAATACCTTTGGATGAGGATCAACAACAAAAAACAAACAAACAGGGCCTCAATTTTGAAAAAGCACATTATATTTTTAGAAATCTTCTTTTAGAGAATTGTCTTGTATCTAATCTAAATCACCTTCCCCATAACTTCTACCCTCTAACCCTGTTTCTTCCAAGTACTGTAGCCACAGAGTAAATATGTTCTCTCTCCAAGCAAATTCTCTTTAGTGCCTTCAACTGTTCCTCAAAGATTAATCTTTTTTTTTCAGATCTATACTCCCAAGGCTACCCTTTTCTGAAAGTATTTCATGATGTAAATGCTTCTTTTAAATCAGAGCAAACAAAATAAGAACAGTATTCTAGATGTTGTATGAGTAAGTACTGAAGAGTACCTCTTCATTTGTTCTGGGTGCTTCTTTATATTGAGAGACAGAGACCAAGGCTTTGAGTCAGACAGATAGAGTTTGAATTTAAAAGTTGTGTCCTTGGGCAAATCAAATGCTTTCAACTTTAGGAGCCTCAGTTTCACCTGTAAAATCTAATGGGGTTGTTGTTAGGCACCTAACAGTAAGTCTGACAGAAAAGTAATACTAATGACTACTAATTCTGTTAATGCAAGCTAAGATTGCCTAATTTCTAAAAAGTGCCTAATGTATTCTTTTTTTAAAAAATATATATTTTTATTGATTTCAGAGAGGAAGAGGGAGAGAGAGATAGACACATCAATGATGAGAACCATTGATTGGCTGCCTCCTGCATGCTCCCCACTGGGGATCAAGCCCGCAACCTAGGCATATGCCCTTAACCGGAATCGAACCTGGGACCTCTCAGTCCGCAGGCCAATGCTCCATTCACCAAGCCAAACTGGCTAGGGCTACCTAATATATTCTAATCATCTTGTTACTTGAACCAAATCTAGTCACTTGACTATTTTTTTCTTAATTATTATTATGTACTAGAGGCCCATTGCACAAAAATTTGTGCACTCGGGGGCGGGGGGGGTTCCCCAGCCCGGCCTGTGCCCTCTCGCAGTCTGGGACCCCTCGGGAGATAACAACCTGCTGGCTTAGGCCTGCTCCTGGGTGGCAGAGGGCAG